TGGCTGTCCTGAAACTCCCTCTGTAGACCAGGCTGGCCTCAAATTCACAGAGATCTACCAGCGTCCTGACAACTTTTTTTTCCTCACTATGTAGCCCTGGATGGCCTGGAACTCAATTGAGATCTGACTGTCTTTCCCTCTTGAGTGCTGGGGTTAAAGGTCACCACCACTCCATTTATTTATTTATTTATTTATTTATTTATTTATTTATTTATTTATTTATTTATTTATTTATTATGTATACAGCATATGTGACTGCAGGCCGGAAGAGGGCACCAGGTCTCATCACAGGTGGTTGTGAGCCACCATGTGGTTGCTGGGAATTGAACTCAGGACCTCTGGAAGAACAGTCAGTGCTCTTGACCTCTGAGCCATCTCTCCAGCCCCTATATATTTATTTATTTTGAGTGTCACTTAGAATACTCTCCACTGAGGACTACTGTTCTGATCATTTTTATTCATTGTTTGCCATATCCTGACATGGTGTTTGTATTTGGTTAGGGAAACTACACAGATGAATCAGATACCATTTAAAACAGCTCTGTGCCATGACATGGGCTTGTAATCCCAGAATTCAGTAGACCAGCCTGAACTATACAGTGAGACCATGTCTCAACAAAGAAAGGGCCTAGTGGCATGACTCATCAGGACCTGCTGCGAAGCTTGATGACCTGGATTCAGTCACCAAACACGGTGCAAGGAAAGAAAAGCCTACAAGTTGTCCTTTGATGATCACATGTGGTTCCCCAATAACGAATGCAATTTTAAAAACAAGTAAGATAGCCAGGGCATTGTGGCGATCACCTTTAATCCCCGCACTCAGGAGGCAGAGGCAGGCGGATCTCTGTGAGTTTGAAGCCAGCCTGATCCACATAAGCGAGTTCCAGGACAGCCAAGACTATTACAAGGAGAAACAAAATAACACCCCTGCCCCCAACTGTTGCTTTTTCTTTCCCCCAGAACTGAGGACCGAACCCAGAGTTTTGTGCTTGTTAGGCAAATGCTCTACCACTGAGCTAAATCCCCAACCCCACAAGCTGCTACTTTTTATTGTTTATTTATGTGGCTGTGTGCTAGAAGAGGCTTCGGGTCCCCTGGAGCTGGAGCTGGAGCTGGAGCTGGAGGTGGTTGTGATCTTCCTACTGTGATTGCTGGGAACAGAAGTCTGGAAGAGCATCAAGCTCCACTTCCCCAGCCACAAGGTGTGACTTTTATGTGCATAGGTTCCCCTTCACTACAAAAAGACTTGGCAAAGAAATACCGTGTTGCCCCATTCTACGGTAGAGCTTTTGCTTAAAATGCACAAGACCCCGATTTCAGTCCCCTACATTGCAAACACGAGCACAAAATCAAACCAAACCTTCCTGTATGTGAAAAAAAGAAAGTTAACAGATGGAACCAAAACAAATAAAAAAAAGTCCATCAGAGCATTGCTCTGAGCCCAGATGTGTCAATAACATGTCAACATGTCAAATGTTGTCAACATTCATAAGGGTACGGTGCATAATATAGCAAGGAACTGGAAACATCTGAAAGTTGAAGAGAGCTGTGTTGAGGGGACAAACAAGGTCCCCAAAATTAATGACTGTTTCTCCGGGTTTGACTCTGAGGATCGAAGGAGTTCATGAGTCATCATGGGATGATCCAGCCTCCCTTTCACCCCAACTTCTAAACCAGGAGTCCTGTGAAGAGGAAAAAACAAAACAGGCTTTCTTTTATATTTTCCATTTTTGGTCTTATATTTGAGGGTTTTGTCAACTCTTTTTAAAAAGTATCTATTTTTATGTGTATGGGGGTTTTGCCTGCATGTATACCTGTGCACAGTGGAGTCCAGAACCCTTGGAGTCCAGAGGACCCAGAGGTGGTGGGATCCCCTAGGACTGGAGTTAGAGATGGCTGTGAGCTGCCATGGGGGTGCTGGAAACTGGACCAGGGTTTTCTGGTACAGCAGTAAATATTCTTAGGCACCGAGCCATCCTCTCTCCAGGCCCCAGTCTTTGGCTTGTTTGAGACACTATCTCATTTGGCAGACTGGTCTTAAACTCCGGATTCTCCTCCCTTCACCTTCCAAGAGCAGGGATTATGAACATGAACCACTAAGTCTGCAAAGAGCTTCAGGAACTGGGCCTACCAATTCAACCATCCCCGGAAGCAGGCAAATGTGGACAGCGTCTCGGTTTCCCAAATACTGTATGTGCTTTTCTCCAGCTCGTCTGTTCTGAGTCTCAGTTCTACCTGTTTGCAGAAAACATTCTCTACACATTTCCAGGTGAACCCGGTCAATCCACCGCAGCCTCCTCCCGCCCCCAAGCATTGATCTAAATTTAGAATTCCTTAGCACCGCAGCGAAGTGGCATGGCCTGGGCTGTGCCAGGACTGGGACAGTCCTCTCTCGAAGATGAATCCTACTGGGTCTTTTCACACGTACCCTCATTTCACTCTGCTGCTGCGCTGTCCTCAGAGTCCCCCGGGAAGAACAACTTTCCCAGCAATATGCCAAGGCCTAACCTCCCCAAATTTGTCTGTGACTCTGGTCCCTTCCATATCCTCTGCCCTCTGTGTTTGGCTAGGCAACATGGGCATCATCCCTAAACCAAGGGCTAGATCTTTCTCTTAGTCGGCCGAGTGCTGGGCTGTGTGGGGGCCTCCGCTTCCAGTTACCCTTTCCCACTCTTGAGGACATTTCCTATCCAGACACCAAAGCACTGAACTTGAAATAATGGAATCTGGCATCTTTGTTCTCTGACTAGAAAGCCGAGTGGTTTCAGGGACAGAAAACAAGAGCTTCCCAGCTGCTCTGAGAACCCCCAAAGCTGTTCTTTTCCTGAGCTCAGCCTCACAAACACCGGGCTCCTAGCTTCTCCAGGGAGAGGGAGGCAGCCAAGAGTGAATCCTGCACCCAGCACGCACTCTCCGGCTCCCTCACCTCCCCCAGACAGCTGGGAAATAACACCTCTCACGACACAACCGGTCCTGGGGCTTCTGCTGGGTGGGGGTGGGGCACTGCAGCACACGAGCGCTCACACCCTGGAGGCCCTGGGAAGCCTGGAGTGGGAGGAAGGAAGCCAGACCCTGCCTGTCTCTGAGATGAAGGCTCTCTTAGGGCTGTAAAGAGTACTCCCACCTCAGGGCCGCCAGTCCTCCCCTAAAATGCCTCCTTCACCCCGGAGGCTTGCTAAATAGACAGCTGGCTCCCTGGTCCTATCTCTAGATGCAGGATGGGAGTGTGTACAGCTGCTGTGTCTGTTTGGTGTACTTAAAATGGAGCAGTCAGGGATGGACCAGGTCTAAGATAATCTCCTATTGTCTTATCTAGATCAAGCCATTTAATAAATATTTATTGAGCGTCTACTTGGGCCCAGGGAGTGGCAGTTGGCTGTCAAGGTCATGTCTGCGCGGCTAATCTGCAGGTAAAGCAGCGCCTACAACATAAAAGCACCACAGGTGCCACTCAGGCCCTGCTAGAGTCAAAGCAGAGGCTGGGCAGTTGACCCCAGTCGGGGACCAGCCTGCCATGTGACACCGCACCACCACCAGGCAGCCTTTGCCCTTCCTGGAGTCTCTGGCTTGTTTAATCTTCGTGGGGCCCAGCTTTGACTGCCCAGCACACCTGTCCGAACACCCAGCTTGCACAGCTCTTGGTGTGTGTGTGTGTGTGTGTGTGTGTGTGTGTGTGTGTGTGTGTGTGTCGGGGGGCTTCTGTTATTCCTTTTGCTCACACCCTGCTGGGAAATCAGGGGCCCCAGAGCTCCCTCGAGTCATTCAGTTTGCAGGGTGACGGGTGAGGTCCGTCCTCTCAGTTCCCCTCCATCCAGCGTCAGGGTTCCAGGCATCATCAGCATCGCCCTGGCACCTGCCTTGGTGGTCGCTTCTCATCTCCCACCCTCCACCCTTGCCGGGCGCTGAGGGCGGGTCACCAGGGCTCGGGACCGGGTTGCAGGGTGAGACCTTAGGCTGTGTGCGGTCAGGACCTGAGGACCCGCTTCGAGGGATGCGGCGAGATATGGGGTCTAGGGGCGAGGTGTGGGTCCCCGGGGGGCGGGTGGCAGATGCCCTGGGGGCCGGCGGTGGGTGCGTGTGCGAGCCGGGCCCCCCGGGCTCGGGCCGGCAG